CTGTTAAATATTATAGCTTAACAATTTTGTCTTTGCCCACCGTACACTGTGGAAATCAAATATATATTTTCGGCTCATAATCATCTATTCTGGGCTGACTCTTTTAATATCTCTCTATAATACATCACTTTGTCTTCGACGAAAGAACCACGACCGTTGCGTGGAACGACGGCAGTGACAATACAGCATGTGGACACTGTCAACATGTGCGCGTCAACCCATATATCCGTGTCATTTCGTTCCGGTGCATCCATGCGGACACCATCACCGTACGAACTCGGCGTGTCCGGTAATTAACTCTCCACACGAACACATAACGTATGCCAGTAAGCCTATACGACCCCTTTCCCTAGTCCTGATTCCCCTGAAAGCTGCAGATATAACCATCTGCTTCGCATGTGGTAGCCAGCCAATAAAAGTCTGTTGTTTACCTGCTGCAGAAAGCCCCGTCTGCAGTCTTTCCCTCATATGAGGCAAATGGAGCAGTACGATGGGGCGAACGCAGACAATGTGTTGTAATAAAATTAGTTAGGTTCCTGAGTCTGTTTACCTCCACGCCCCTTAGGTAACCCCAGGTAACCCTTAGCTGAAGCGGGAAGGGATCGTGATTTGAACGGACATCGTCAGCTCGAAAAGAGTCCTAGAAAAGAGGACACGGCATTCAGCTATGCCACTTTCCCATTTTTCGTTTTCTTTCGCCCTCTTCGCCGGAGTGCTCGACTTCGTTGTTTCTTTCTTCAGTTGCACCCTGCACCTGCAGCCATGTCCTTGCGTCGTGCAACCGTGCGTCGTAACAATAAGCGCTACGGTTACTCCAACCGTTCCAGGCTTACCTAATTCAACTGGATTTAGCATATAATAGTGAACTTTATCAACAAATATAAAAATGCAAGAGCGCACTGATTCGCGTGTGCCTTACGCGATCGACATAGAAGTGGCGAGAAAGTTCGTAAACTTAGGTTGCGTTTGTTTTTTTTTTAATAGCGTTAGCTAGAAAAGATGTTAGCTTAAGTTGTTATTTAAATAATTATTTCATAAGCGTATCGTCCATGTAATTTAAGTGTGCCGTGTACATGGATAGCAAAGAAAACGTGTGCAGGCGTAGGTCCGGTAAGGCCAAGGGAAACTCGGGCCATGTAGACTGTTCCATGTGGGTCCTGCGCGGCACGAGTTCCGCTACCTTCTCGAAGAGGGTCGCCTTCCCCCCTCGCCTCTCTCTTTTTTTCTCTCTTCTCTCGATGGGCTGGTGGGTGAGTCGGTGTTTGTGTGGTCTGCCACCTGTAGGGGTAGCAGTAGGGCAACTAGTGTTTAGACAGCGGTGCTGTTGCGTGCTGTGGCATCGCCACAAACAGTAGTGGAGCCTGCAAGGAGGTGACGAGCGAATGCAACCGGTAAAGTTAGGTGGCAGGACACAGGTGCCTGGCTGACACTAGTGCCTATAGTCTGTAAGGAATGCTGCAATCCACCAACACAACCACAATCACACGAATTTTCACTAGGACGACCCACTTGATTGAATAACATTGTTTGCGTGTAATAAAGCCGTTACTGTCTACGGGCAGGATATAGAGCATTCTGTCCAATAAGGACAGAAACAACGTCGCATTATTACTACTCTGACTTAGCGTGGCTTCTGTATCTCTTTACGTTAACCTACAGTGCAAGTATTAGCGGGAAGCGGGTAATTTGAAATGACGACAGGGAAAAGTCGAAGTACCAATGAGAGCACGGGTTTCATTTAAGACGTACGTAATGGCCAGCGTCCACGAGTTACTAAAACTAAGAGTAACACCTTAATACCGTTAGTTCGTATTGGCGGCTTGGCTGTGATAAGCAATACAATTACAGCAGTAGTAAGTTCACCGCCCGATATTAGATATGAGATTATTTGATCTGTTTTCGTTGAATGCTTCCTATTTCTACATTTTGAGTAGTTACAGTATTACATATCGTTACAAAGTTCTTTATCTTATCTATAAGAAAACTTATGAGTGTATTCTTTTTGTTCTGATCGCTACATTTTCTGCTCTCTCCGGAGATAAATGTTTCGGACTGCAAATAGCAGCACTTCACACCCAGCTCACTCGTCTTTCATCAACACCAGAGAGCTGCCAAAAGAACGCATCATAGACGTCAAGTATTGGCATTGTAGGCATTCTACTGGTGGCCCGTTACATTTAAAAAGTGGTTTCTCGATGTAAAAACTACGCGTCGCCGAAGCTTTCGAATCCGAAGACATTTTTAAAGAATAATCATTAGATCAGTTTACATCCCTTAGCTGTAGCCTCATCATCATATTCGTATCATATCCTCTGTTGCTTATGGGCTTTTTCGCATTGGAAGTGAGGGAAACAGAAAGCAAACGCCGAGAATACAGTTTTTTATTCCTTGGTTCAACTGTCTTTGGGTCTCAAGATGGTCCTGAAACAACAAAGACCTCGACAACGACAAAGAATCAAAGTAGGATCTCTCTAGCGGTGTGCAACGCTCATCGACTGAGATACATTCGCAAGAAGATACATTAAAGATGACACCAATTTCTGCAAACTCTTTTAATCAGTACAAAGATGGATGTATGCAGTATTTTCAATGAAGCTTTTTGCCCTTTCTACTGTTGAATCTCTTATTTTTGTCCGCTCACTACCAAATAAATAGGACTGCGAAAAATGGTACAGAATCGTTTGGTTGGCTACGCACCGCCTTTTCGGATTCCGCTTTTGCCTCCAACGGCGGGCAATTTTCAAATGGTACAGATGAAGCTTCTGCCTCAACTACGAAAAAGATTAGCGTTCACTTCGCGCCGTTACGTCACTTTCTCTTTGCCCCTTCCGCTTTCATGCGTCGCGACGGACTGTGTCACTGTCTCGCGTCATTCGTTTTCTATGACATCATTCGCACGTGCTATGCCGACAGCGGTGGATGGCTCCTCACTGACTTGTGGGTTGGTGCGCGCTCTGTCGCACCAGAGATCTTTTGCTTTGGCTTTTTCGGCCTAGGCCCTTCGCGTTCCTTTGCTGTGCCCACTTAAAAACACCTAGGTGCGTAGAACTCTTTTCTTCGCCGCTATGCAGGGCGTCGTTGAGGGTGCCTGTGTAAATGATTTGCGACGTCGGCTTGCGTCCGGTGATGCTGCTGCATACCACATTGTCCAGTAACAGGCCTCGCTCTGCGAGAGCCAGAAACAGCCATATGGGCGGCGGTCGCTACCGTGCCTTGAATGATTGGGGTAGGATGCAAATGCGCGGCTATTTCCTAGCAGTGAAGGAAGAGCGAATGAAGGATTTAAAGAACTAGGCCATTTGTGCCATGTGCCGATTAACAGCAAAACGCCAACCTTCGACCTTTGACATACTAGTTGAGTACACATTTTAGTGCTCTGAAATACATAGTTTTTAGAGAGCTTGAGGAGTGTACACCTCTTATAGCAATAAGAACTACTACAAATGTCTGTGTAGTATTGATGGTGTTTTAAAAGTGTACAAATATATTTTAACGTCATACGAATTTAATTAAATTGAAGGATTGCTACTAGGTTTACCGCCCTTCAATTAATTCAAATAATATAATATGTTTATGAAGTAAGAGGGCTCGAGCTTTGTTAATCTTCTCTTAGACTGTGTAAGTATGAACTTAAACGCACTATTCGTATATTACCAATGTGTAACGAACATTTTTTGCCGAAGTTTCCACTTGTTGAATTTAATGCATTGACCAGTGGATGACCCATCATTGAGCTGAAGCACCATTGACAACGTGTGATACGAGGACTGCTGAAAAGGTTCTGCTGTGCCAAGCTCAACATATGGTAACTCACGTGAGAAAGCAGAGCGGGGCAAGATTGCATGAGATAGAATGTACTTTTTTCCTGATTTACGTCTCTACCCAGAGGACCAGCGGGGGCCACAATATGGGTCACTTCGTCGCTCTTTTTGACTTTCCGAACAACAATGATCGAAAAAGATCGGACGTGACAATTAATTGACACGAGAAAGCACAAGTCTATCAGTAATGAAATTGATATGCAACATCATATATCGCCCCTTGCAATCGTTAGGTAGACCCCATCTTCTTTTGAAACTGACCAGTAACGAGACTACCCTCTAACCTCTATGCTTAGACGTCCGGCATCGCTATTAGGCATTGAAACAACGTGTCTCTACCCCTGACCAGAACGAATCCCTAAGATTAACTGGCAAGTACGTTACCCACTAATCTATTATAAAATGTACTATTTAACCTAAGATTACAAAGTGATTTAAGAACGCGATGATTTTAAATAGATGCTAATTCGCAAAAGAGTTAAAAGTGAAGATGACACTCAATGAAAGCGTACGTAGAAACGTTTTGGTAAAAGCTTGAATTTTCAAATTAAATTTGTGTTCTCTTCCAAAGGATTGCTTGTAAAGCTTCGCCTACTAAACAGGCAGAATAAATCTAAGCGTTGTAGCTCCTTTTTTAGGTCCAGTGACTTCAATTAAGTGACCACTTTAAGTAATTCCTGCATCACCGTAATTGACATCCTACATAGACCTTCCCAGAGGCTTTCGGAACATTAGATTGGGCACCATCTTAGTATTTCGTACATCACTCCGTTGTTTTCTCTTTTAATTTGAAGAAGTTACATTTTTACTGATAAAATTTAGAGCTGTTCATGGTGAGCTGCTATCTCGGCGTATGCCCTATATCTTTGAGTTCTTTCAATATGAAATGTAATGTTTCCAACTTTAGACTATCCAGATTTATTCAACTTATATATACGATCTACGAGAAATCTAAAGCAAACTACTATTTGCTTTACTTAATTACAAAAAAGATTTTACGAAGCATACAGGAGATCCGCACGTGGCAGCTAGCCATTGCCGGCTTGTAAGGTAAAGTAGTAACCTTATAAAGAGCGCTCACAATACGATTTGTAGTTTTATGGCAACAAATCAGAGGGACTCGCAAAGTAGGTAGACTAACAGGCGAACGAAATTCCTAATGAACTATAGCTTACCCACCTGCAAAGGGGTTTGGCAATAGCTATCCTCTCTCTCCATTCGCACTTTGGGAACGCGTAATGGCACAGAAGAACTTCGGCCGCACTTCGGCACGGTTCTTGCATCGGCTGTATAAGTTCTTCCCAAAGGGCAGCAGTAATCTGTTCGTTAATCATCACGGTGGACGGGTCCGCAGAAATATTGTAATATACAATATGGCCGGATTTTCCAAGATGCTGCAATATTAGATAACAACAGATTAGCAGTGTACTTAGCTTCGTAGTGGTTGAACTTTGTTTTTCTAAATATTGCTTAGTTGTCAAGAGGGGAACCATTAGTTGGGTTGTTGTTATACTGCGAGTTGTTTAGTCTCTTGTCGGCTGGGGTCGAGATGTATCCATTTCGAAATACGTTGCTGTCTAGGACACGGCAGAAATCGATTCGAACAAGGTACAGGGAATATAAACGATTCGACTTTTCATTGATAATTGAGGGTGAATTATTTCCTGGCCTGCCTCGAGCGTAACCATCAGCCACGACAAACAATTGCTAGCATCCATTATATCATATGCTTGGCCTAGTTATAATATACGTTAATATAATAGTCATCCTTATCATCATTAAAACACATTTGTGTTTTAACAAACAAAATTTAAATCTCAACCTCGCAGCGAATTACTTATCTTACTCTGGCTTACTTTCTTTTTTGTTTGTTTGTCCTATAGGTAATTCATTCGTTGCCAACCTGATATAGACATACAATTAGTATTTACACAATTCGTAGATACACTAATTTTGTCAATGCAAACGAATAGCAATTCAGAGATGAGTGCATACCTTTGAGCAGATGTTTCCAGCGTAAGCTGAGCAAAAGCCCTCAGGAATGTCTGATGTACCACCGCCATGCTTTCTCCTATGCGATTCTCCGTCGTAAACGAGTATGCCTTTTTGGTGACGCACCATATCCGGACCCTCTGCAATTATCGTTAATTATATATATATATATATATATATACAGTGTTACTCTTAATACACGAAACTTTATCTAAAAACGTTTCTTGTGCTGAGAGTAATATTGCGTGAGTAAATTTGGCGGCTTTATATTTTCTACCTAGGAGCTGTCTGTCAGGTTCAGTATCTGTCTCACCGTTTCTTTCTCCTGATTAGGTTTACAAGAACATTTGAAGGAGAACCGGACACCCACATTCCTGCGAGGTTGTATTGTAGCCCAATGTGTACGTTCAAAATAAACGACAGACTCTACTCGATTCCCCCCGATTCCATCTCGCGTGGAAGTTTCAATTGCTTGTATTCTTTCCTTTTCTTCACTAAAGAAATTCGTCTGCTACACCCACTCATAACCCGCAATCACCGTCCGCATCAAGTTAATAGGCCCAGAATCACGATGATCTACTTGACGAAGCGTGTCCAGTCGAAGTGCGCATATCCGAACCTGCTCTTTCACAATTCGTTTGAAAACGTTAAACAGTTCCTATTCAGACCGCACTTTCCTATCAGTCGAAGGACGGAATCTCCAGATGCTGTAGTGCTGGTAGTAACACCGAGAAGCGGCTGCTGGTCCCTTGCTGATACGAATGTTCAAGTGTGTTTCTTGTATAGAGACAGCAAACGGGAGTGTCGAGCCAACAAGGGTCCAGATAAATCCCCAGGAATAAGCGAAGGCCGACTGATACTACATGACTAGGGCGCAGATGGAAAAGTGAGGGAGACAAGACTTGACTACCCACCCACCCCCAAATCCCGCTTCGCAAGTGGTGCCGCACCAGCCCACGTAAAAACAGCTAAACGCCCATTTTTATCACCATGGGTCAACTGAGTGGTGTCAAGTGCGCACGAACGGGATAGACGAGAGCTAGATACTGCTACCGAGGGAAAATGAGGTAGAGGAAAACAAAAGTGACAAAGTAGCGAAACGAAAGAGCAGCTGGTTACGGTTGTGATTCTCTAATCATGGCTGAAGGGGGCCCGACAAACTGAAAGGTTGGAAGTTTGAAATGGTCGCGGTCATCCTCGATTGCCGGTAATTTCTTGATGACAACGCCACAACTTGGCTCAGTCAACTCATACGTTTTTAAAGTTTTAATCTAGGCTATATTCCGGCGTCCTTAACATGTAATAATCGCAATTATGTATGGGGAAGGGAAAGGTAGACAAATTTATACTTCGTCGAAACTAACCTACGAAGTAACCGAAACATGCAGCCGATATTCCAATAAGTTGCTTACTTCGATTTGCCCCTTACATCTGTTTTGATGCCGGTCCACCGAAACACCAGAATAAGCAGAATCTAATTGTTTCTATGTAGAATTTTGGTGTCAGCCGCACGCGCTCCTACTTTGTTTTCCAACTCTATAGAATACGAGCCATACCGTAGAATCGCAACAGGGCGCGTCCAAATTTGGACGCTTCGCCGCTTTGATCGAGTCAAAATGGAGCGGAAACGTGGCGTTCACGGTCCCTCTTTTCTTCCTGGCGTCACGGCGCTCATGCCACTGCTACCGTCAATGTCGGAAGTCGTTTATCTAATGAATGAATAAATGAATGTTTTGCGGACTCTGTTCCGTCTGGTGGCATGTTACGGAACGAATCTAACGGTGACTGTGACGATTAGCATATAGATTAAAACGGCACCAGCGAAACCCACCGTTTGAAGTAACCGCGTCCCTCGACGCGCATTGCATTGGCACACAACAGCCAATATGTGCATAGGCTCGTAGTCGAATCTACCTAACTACACAGTCGCGTTAACTGGGTCCCCGGCATTAGCCGAACTCATCCGGCGGACTAGAGCCCTGCGGAGGGCTCATCGCTGGCTGCTTCGCTACCACTTTCGAGTCTGTTCTCGTTGTCGTTGACTCACTGCCGAAAAAGAGTTTAGCTGTATCGCCCACCTGCTTTCTTTGATACCAATGAGTGTAATTAAATCGTCAGTGATACGCCTTTTTCCTATTATCTGCCCCTGTCGCCCTTTCTCACTAGAACTAACGTCCCCTCTATTTTTATGTACTACACCCCAGTGTCGGCAACGAGCGCAAGTACTTTTAATTGAGTGCCATTTATTACACTTGTAGAACCTCTTGTGTTCGATTTTTTGAAGGTTACTTTTGTAGCGGTAATAAATATCAAATTATACTTGAAGTTGTCTAAACTTGGGTCGCATGGAAATCGGCAAGACAAAGAAGCAGTTTGCCTGGACAAGCGCAACAATGCCTTATGCAGCTCCATTCAATCCCTAATCTAACAATTTGAACTTGTAATATTATGGTCGATAAACTTTATGCTTCGCATCTTTTTTACTTAGTATTTCCTTTATGGTTTCCAAGGGCCACAAAAGATATGAAAAGCTATCTCAACGTATAGATTAACCCGTTGGATATATCAGGATAACATGTCTGACGTAATAATAAAAGGTCTTTGTGCTTACGGTTTTAATTATAAATTTCTCATATTAGGAAATATAGTCTTCTTCTGAGACCCCTACGAATGTTACTTGAAGAATTGTTTGTGAGCAATCAGCGGGCTAAATTGTTCAGTCGTGTTACAATGCAACAGCTGGTCGATGTTGATCCACCTCATCTGGCCACCTGCCCCCTTTGTTTGCGCGCCACTTTCTCGTCCCCTAACCTAAACTCGACCTAATGCCTTGGCCTTATTGCTGCAAAGTACGCGCATACACTGCCGCTGCTCAACTTCGACGTTCTCTCACCACACGCTAACCCGCGACTTTCTAATTGAGACTGTGAATACGCAATCGAATTTCGCCGACGATGCAACCTTGCGTAATGCCCTTTGCAAGGCTTTTTCTTGTCCTCGCCGCATGCGAGACCGATGCACGCTGACTGTCGGCATATGCAAATGTAATGAGGATGACGACGAAGTATAATTGATGTAAATGTCTGGCTGTCTGTGGGCCTGTGTGAGCGTATAGGCACTTGATACAAACGTATGCAACCGAAGACTAAGCTGCCGACAAGCGCAATTGTCTCCGCTCGTTCAGTCTCTATTGAGTATCGCTTTAGCCCTTATGCTCTCGCCAGTAGTACCCGTGTCGCTCTCTCCCTGTACTTAATTGGATTGCTCTCCTGGCCTGAATCGCCAGCTACGTTTGGGAAGGTCAGGGGTATTTTTTTTTGTTTTTGTTGCTGCTTTCATTGGCTATGTGCCAGCTAACTCGGCTATTTTAAGTAGACAATCCTTCTCATTTCCGTGCGTGGTAATCACAACGAGATACTAATAATTATATTTCAGGGAAATACACGAAGAAGGAAACCATGTAGATGAAAGGGTGTGTGTATAAAGAAGGCCCAAAAAATAAATTTAGGACATACACATAATAAGATCTTCAATAGAGGTGCAAATAATTTCGCTTTATGAGACATTCTCGCTGTGCCGCATGTATCGATATGTATTATTCTTTATCGCAATCTTTTGTGTGTTTCTTCAAACATGAACTTCATTAAACGCTATTTCTATGTTTGTCATATATGTCTGATTATCCTCACTTGGTTCGTTCCGATCGACAATAATAAAAAACACACACTTCGTAACCGTGTAGCACTTGCAGTATTTTTGAGGACTTGAAGCCCTAGATTGGGCCGCGTTAACACTGTGTGAACTCGAATACGGTAGCCACCTCGCTAATCCACTATTAATCCTAGTTCTTTGCCTATACTTAAAGCTGTAATAGAATCAAGGTAAAATAGACTATGCGGTACGGCCTTTCTAGACCAGCCAGCTTCTTGTTACTGTGATGTGCCCGTCTGATCTATCTATAAATCTCTGCTTTATATTATTACAACCTCGTCCTGATCCACCCCGTGAAGTCTTCCGGACCACTATAAAGAACTCTCGGAGACAACCCTATTGTCTGGATGACATTAGGATTAGATGACTGCGCGTTGGGAGTAACCTACAGCGAGACCGACCTCATTACCTCTCACTGAAGAGATTTCTTCCGGTCTGAATAGATGTACCTTTTGACTCGTGAAAATTAAAGCGAAAGTACATCATGCATAATTATAGTCAGGAAAGATTAAAAGCAAAATTGCTTTTAAATTGATAGAGCGTCCCAACATATCGACCCGTTCGAATACAGGATGACTTCTCATGTTCATTAACACCTACGTCAATGAAGTATACTTCGAACATGTACTATAGTTTTTTTACACAAATACGAATTTACAGTCCGCAATTGAATTATGTACGTCACATGTTTGCTATCTTCCAAAGTTGCTGTAAACGGGCGCGTGAATTTTTCATGACAGAAAGTAGTAATCTATGTCAGGGTTTTCTCGATCCTTTGTCCTCGTATTAAAATTAGCCTATAATGTATTGGTCATGGTTTTTCCTTATATTTTGTTTATGCGCAAAAGGAACAGGGTGAAAACCTTATAACCCGTAATATCACTCACTGATGCCCAGCGATGTACTTCATTAGCGCGTGATTCAAGCATGCGACGGCAACGCTTGTAGCTAGTGTGGCCGGTGACTTTTTTTTTTATTTTAATCATCCCTCAGGGTGCGTACAATGTTTCGGATGACATATCTGGCCCCCTCTTACTAGCACCAGTTCAACCTTTGTGCTTCTCTGGTAAGCGGGCTAAGACAGTGGATTAGTTGTGCAGAAGTTGACGCCAGCGTTAATCTACGTCTGTCTGTGTCCGAACACTTTGAAAAACAAGATGGTCTTATGTTCGTGCGCTTGTGAAACGCGACAATTAAATGTTTTCTTTGGGTACTGTTAGCCTCCAATAGGTACGTCATGGCGAGCTCTTATTTTTAATAACATAGTGCACGATTTTTCATCCGTACACGATCTAGGACTGAAGTCTACTAGACATTACTGACCTTGTTAACGGTCAAGTAATAACAGTGGTCTAGTGTTTAGGGCCTGTTTGTTCCATAGACATGCGAGATAGGTAATACTGACAACACAGCACATTTTCAATATCTT